TCACCCTACTGTATTGTCAAATTTTGTGATCGATCCGTTGGCACCTAAAAAAAAAGAGTATTACTACTATGTACATAAATTTTCTCTTATTAATGTTGTTTAAGTTTTCTCTATCCTTACATTTGTCCATGTGATCTGTCTTGGATGAAGTAAGATGACTTTTAATATATTTCTTTCAACTTGTCTTTTGTCTACCATAATTTATACTTTATCAAAGTTGCATGAATGCTCATGATGATTATATTTTCATTGTGAATTTTAGCTATTAGCACTAGGAAGTGTCCTTCAATGTACTTTTGACCCTAAATTATTCTTTGTCTGACATTAAGATCCATGACTTCTACTTGCTTTCTTTCATTTGCTTGATACAGCCTAGTCTGTTCTACTTTTAACATTTCTGAGTGATTTTGTTTTGTTGGGTTTTTTTTTTTTTTCTTTTTTAAATATTTTATTGAGTTTCTAGTGAAAGTTTACATAGTAACTTAGGATCCCGTTTAACTATGCCTATGCTTGGTAATGGGAGCTCTGGTGGTGTAGTACCTAAGGCATTTGACTGCCAAACAGAAGGCTGGGGGTTCAAATCCACCAATCACTCCTTGGAAGGATGGTTGGGCAATCATCTGCAGTGATACTGCCTCAGAAACTCAAGGAAACATCGCTATGAGTTGGCACTGAAGGTTTTTTTTAAAGCTTGGTAAAAAGGAGCTCTGGTGACATAGTGCCTATGGCATCTTACTGCTAACCAGAAGGTTGGTGGTTCAAACCTACCAGCCACTCCTCAGAAGGAAGACTGGGCAATTTACTTCCATAAAGATTTACAGCCTTGGAAAACCAAAGGGGGTCACTATGAGTCAGAATTGACTCCATGGCAGTGAATTAGGTGTAAATATATATATATGCTTGATAAAGTGGTAGGGCAACGAAAAAGGGAAGGCCCTCAATGAGATAGATTGACACAATGGCTGCAATGATGGGCTCAGGTATAGCAATGACTGTGAGGCTGGTGCAGAATAGGGCACTGTTTCTTTCTGTTGTACGTAGGGTCGCTATGAGTTGGAGCTGACTCAACGGTACCTAACAACAACAACATACATAAATATTGTTCCATGACATTGGTTACATTTTCAACTGTGAGGCAAGAGTAACAGTAGCTGTTACGGTTTTGTGTCAACTTGGCTGAGCCATGATTCTCAGTGGTTTGACAGTTATGTAATGATGAATTTTGCAGTTATATAATGATATAATCACCCTTCATTTTATGATTTAATGTGGTCATCTTCAATTTTCTCGTAATACTGATTTCCCATAAGGACCTGGTCTTTAGAACATAACCATGTCAATAAGTGAGGAATGAGTGTGTATGTGTGTATAAAAGGATCACAGTACTCAGGGATGATATTGTTTTATGAGCCAATCTGTTACATAGTTCAAAGGTGACCTCCAGGAGTAGTTTCAGTTCAAAGTTTAAAGGGTGTATCAGAATGATAGCTCTGCTGGTCCAGTAAGTCTGATCTTTTGTTTTGTTTTGTTTTAATTTTTTTTCTACAATTTTCTCCCATTCTATCCAGATCCATCTATTGTGACCCCAGTCAGAATGGTTGGTAGTGATAGCCGGGTACCATCTAGTTCTGCTCTCTGGGTAGGTAATGAATCACTTTACTTTAGACATATCTCTTTGATATAATTCTGATTTTTAAACTATACTATAAGCACTTTTATTTGATTTATAGATTCTCAAATAATTTCTATTAGAAGAATCAGCCTATGAGGCAGAGGTTAAAGATATCTCAAATGTCCAACTTTTCCAAACTGGGATACCACTCAATTATCTCTAACATCAACTCCTTCTGCTCCTCTCAAAACTCTCCCTCCCATAATTCACTGCAATGTCTCACAGAACTCATGAAAAATCAAGGAAATGGCTCATATTGTGGTGGAAGCTGGCAAGTCAGAAGTCTATGGGTCAGGCATCAGTCTGTTCTCACACAGTTGCAGGGGCTGATGAACACAACGCAGCACGTCAGACAACAGGGTGCTATCTCACAAGGCTGTGAGCGCTGATGAATCAGGTCTGATGGTTCACTAGGCTGCTTGTTGGCTCAACTCCCCAGAACTGGAGGTCAGACCAGACTCAAAAAAACTAAGGCTGGTGACTTGAGTCACATCCTCTAGTAAAGCAGTGACTCAAGACACATCCCACCCTCCAAAATAGGACCATAACCACAGGCATAAAGGCTAGGATTTATAATACATCACAAAATAGAGGAGTATGGCTATGTTTTGAGCAAGTGGTGATGAATGATCACTCTACTCAAAATTTGTGTCCTTCCACAATGTCAGGTTTATTAATACATAAGTATATCAACAAACCAAGGGTGGCTGCCTCCACACATGAAGGACTTAGGCAAGCAAGAGTAGACAAAGTTAGTACTTATCAGTCGGTCTCTGGGACAATTTGTGGATGACCGCAATGTCTGCAATTCTTGTGATGAGGTGTGGAGTGACATCTTCTTCAATTTCGTCATGGCAATGTCAGTGTTTGCTCTATTAACTCCACAGGAGGAGTTAGGAGTAGTGCCACACCAAGAGCGTGTGGGCTTAGATTGAAAGCAAAGGCTTCTCGGGGGCAGGCGTCTGGCTTTGCCTCGAGACACTATCTGGATGGAAGAGACCCAGTGGGGCAGGCACAGGGTTACTCTGGAGGAGCTGCCACTGCCGATGGATTCCTTACAACAGAGATTCCTGGAATATGCCGGCTACTACCCGCATTGGCCACCGATGGCCATTATCTTAACCTCACTGACACCTTAGGTGCTCCAAGCAGATAGAGTACCATACCACAATTGTGTGGATTTGGGGTGAGATCACTCTCAAGACTGCTTGCCTCAAAATGGAGTCTCCTCCACCAGACCTGGGCTTAGTCTCAAGAAAGTGAGGGATGGCATAAGCCTTAGCCGCTCCGCTGGGGGAGTCAGAATTTTGCTTGTGTGATGGCTCTGGTATTGCTATGCGCAAAGAACTGCCATCCTACTGGTACTTATATACTCCATATCAGCATTTCCCCATCTTGTCTTTCTATACCAGACTTGTTCTATCTATAATCTTGATTATTTCTGTCACACCTGCAAAAATGGCAAGGAGGCCACATGTTCTGACCTCCTCTAATCCCACAAGAGGAAGGCAGAATCACCATCAATAGCCTAAGGCCTATTACTGCAAGGCCAGACATGCTGCCTCCCTCCGGCCCTTTCACCAACTGTTCCTCCCAAAGCACCCACCACCTCTCTCCTGGGTTCAATAATTCGCTGCAGTGGCCACACAGAACTCACAGATTATGGGGTTTATTAGGGAAGCACCACAGGCTACAATTCAAGTTCAGGAAAAATGCTCAGCCTCTCTCCCAGCCCACCGTCCCTCAGCCAACAGTCTCTCACGGTCTCTTTTGCAGCAGTGCTGGTCCCTCCGTGTCTCACTCAGCAATGCGTGTCTCTTGTGTCTCTTTTGGCAGCAGCATATGTCTCTTTCCAGGGTGCTTGTCTCTTTCGGCAGCATGTCTTCCTCAACCAGCAGTCAGAAAGAGTTCTGCCTCTAGGAGGCCTCCGTTTGAGCCCGGCAGGGTGGTCAAACTAGCCAATCATAGCATCAGAACTCTAAGCACTTGAGAGAGAGTGGCACCTCCCAGAACATTGTTTTGTGCCACTCCCAACAGAAATACTCCAGGTGGACAACTTCAGCAATCAGGAGGAGCTCCTCAGTTGCCCATAGAAAATCCCACCTTGGAGTTTACAAAGACTTATGGGTAGAAAAGCCACACTAAGTAATTTACTACACCACAACACCCTTATCTTATCATTACACTTGTTTAAACATTTGTTCACTACAACCTATATTTCTAAACAATCTATATTTCTATGCAATCTTTATTTCTATACAATCTATGTTTCTTGTTTACATTAACACACTCTTATTTTATTATTACACTTGTTCACTACAGGCTAGAATGGTCATATTAAGTAATTCACTGCACTATACAAATAAACACTGAAAATAATGCATTTAATAAACATCAGTAAAGTTACAAAAATCCCTGAGACCAGAACTGGCTGACAGACTCAATTTGTCAAAAGGTCTAGTTTCTGCATGGCTTGCTTGTGTGCTAAATAAAGCATGTCAGAGTTGTAGGAATGAGAGAAGCTCCTGAGGTTTATTTGGGAATGCAGAAATGTCCACTGGTAGAATCCAGGGTCAGTGGTTCAGAAGCCCAGATACAACTCAGGATGAAGTAAGGCTCAGTCAAGATTCTCAGCATCATCAAATGGTGGCCCAAACTATTGTGGGGGTTAGGGGCACAGTAGATCCCTGGGTGGCACAAACTGCTTAAGCTCAACTACTAACCAAGTACTACTAGCAGAGCTGTGGAAGAAATACCTGACAATCTGCTTGCTTAAAGATTATAACCAAGAAAACCCTATAAAGAAGTTCTACTCATTAATATTTGGAGTTGCCATGAATAAGACTGGACAGCAATGGGTTTAGTGACATGCTAGGCAGGGAAGGTATCCTGAGGATGACATCAGAAACAAGCGTTGTCCATGGCATCCAGGCAAGGTTGGGGACACAGGCATCTAAGTGTCCAGGAGTGGTCTGAGAGTCCCTGAGAAGTACTACAACATTCTATGGTAGCCTTAGGGGCCGGGAGGGTTACCTCTGTGGCTACTGGTACCCTGCTTGTCATGTTATGAGAAAGCATCAAGCAGCCTGGAAATGTGCCACTTCTTAGAGGTAAAAGGTCTCCACAAGGGGGAGCGCCAGCCCCAAGTTGAAGTTTCACTGGGAGCTTCTGTTTTTCCTGAGGTTGTCGGGGATCAGAGGCACAGCCACATTTGGCAACATCTTCAAAACCCTGGGCTCACAGACTTAAGAACACTCATTGTGGTGGAAACATGTAAGAATTCAAAGGTGGCAGCTACATTTACTTAGTTTGCCTCTGAGGATCACAGTCAAGAAGGAAGGAGATTTTGGCAACCTGTTGGGGGTAGGCTCATAGAGGTATAAGAGTGGTCCATGGCAATAACTTTGAGCAAGTTCGCAAGGGTGCTGCAGTCCTCAGCAGTGTCTCTGAGAAATTTTCTCAAAGGTAAAGCGACGTTGGGAGGAGTCAGAGGAACGATGTCGGGGAGATTGACTGTAATGGTGTCCAGCGACAGCAGGCACGGGCCAGGGTGCATCGGAGCATCAGGATCCAGTGGGAGCCCCAAGGGCTGAAGATGCGGGGCACAGCAGCAGCCAGAAGCTTTAGCAGGAGACTGGGGCTCAAAACTCAGAGGTGCAGGGTCGTCTATCAAAGGTACGTTCACAGGCAGGGGTTGAGCACTGAGGCCCGGTACTGTGCGTGCTTTGTGCCTCTTGGCAGGGGCCTGAACCATCTGCTCCTGGACCACAGATTCCCGAGGACGACGACCACGACCTCTCCTGCCAGATGAGGTGTGGAGACGCGAGGCAGACAGACGTGGGATCAGCGACGAGGTCAGGTTAGGCACTGCGAAACTGCCGGCAACCAAGGACTCCTCAGGCAGCACAGGTGCACTGTGGGCGGCAGCGGAGCCCTGGGTCTCATGGCGCACAAGGGCGCGGCCCTGGGGACCATTGCCGGCGGCGGCTACAGGCAGAGAGGGGTGCGGAGCTCGGCGAGGCTGGAGGTGCCTTAGGCCTCGCGAGGCTCTCGTAGGTGCCCGGGCCTCCCTCCAGGCGGTCAGCTCCTGGCTGGCCAGGGCTGTGGGCTCTGTATGGTCCACAACTGCCCGGTCCTGCCCCTGTTTCCACAGCTCATAACGCTCAGGTTGCAGAATGCGCACAAAAGCGTCCATGGAAAACGTGACCCTGGACTCCCCGCAGCTGCACTGAGATGCCACTTTGCCATAATCAACCCAGCGCGGGGTGGCGAAATTGATGGCTTCCGCACAGTTGAAGCCATGATTGAAGCCAGCGTGGTAGCCATAAGGGAATGTCACCATGAACTCACCAGCCTCCTGGGTGATCCGACGGAAAGGAATGCCATTCTCCCTGAGGACAGTGGGTGAGATGAGAGCCACCTTATGCCGCAGGAAGGCCTCACAGCCCCGCGAACTGCCAGGAAAAAGCTCTCTGGCCAGGCGTTCCAGGCGTTGGCCGTGCTCCGGGGGCACCGCGTACCACGTTTTGGGCTCCCCGAAGTGCAGGTAGTTGATGCTGTAGAGGTCCATGTCCTCCGTGTGCCAAGCGAAGGTGGTCTTCCACATGCCGAAGTACAGGTAGGGTGTGTTGACGCCTTCGATGACCACTCCACACTCCTGCTCCAGTAGGTCCTGAATTGTCCCCAGGTTGCCGAGGTTCCAGTGTTCAGTGTTTTCATCAAATAAGGAACCGCTGACGTCAGCCCCATAAATCGGGGAATCGTAGAGGCGGTGTTTCCAATACTTTCGCTCCAAATTTTGATAATCCAGGTGTGGTGGAGTGCGGTATTTGTTACTGTTAGCCAAGTGGCGATACTCCCCCACAGTCATGGCTTTCTTCTTTTTATGGTATTGCGTAAACACACCTGCTCTCCCAGAGACCACCTGTTGCAGAGGAGTGGCTATTAGGATGTCACTGATATCATCGTAGGTCTGTCTGTCTTTCCATTGCTTGGGTGGAATTATTTTAGCCAGGCCTGCTCGGTGTGCACCTTGGGATTCCATGTAAGCAATGTATTTGTTAAAATCCTTAAATTCTTCCATGGTTGGGCGGAATGTCATGATTGTACATCTTGGGTTCTGGGTAGCACAGTGCTTAGACTTCATGGCTGCAATATAAACCACAGAGTAAAGTCTTTTAGGTCTATTCTAGATACCTGAGAGTGCTAGGGAGTAATTTTTTAAAAAACATATTTTAATGTATTGTAATATGTTGGTTTATCTGTGAAGCAATAACTCTTACTTAAACTTTTAAACAAATGCATTACCTCTCCAGGCTTGCTGATTCACCAGGGTGACTTCACTTTGGTCAGCAATTTTCCCAGTGGAAAAGGTATTTGGAGTCACGTCTTGGCTCAGTCTACAGCTCTATGAGGTTCCTCAGTTGGGAGTGGAACTCTGCCTTCTGAGATGTCTCCTCATTCTCAATCTGGAGTTCACAGATAGCTCCCAACCCTACTTGAGCATAGTCACTTTTCAAGGAAGTTTTAAACTAGACCTAAAGAAAAGAAACCAGAATCATTTAAAATAAGTGGATGATAAAAGAAATACTGAGGTAGCAGTAAGCTAAAGAAAATTGGTATGGCATTGTTAATGTCAAAATTAAAACTTAAAGTCAAATCATAAGACAGAAAAAGAAGACCATTTAATTGAACTAAAATGAAATGCAAAAAAAAGTTTGAAAACATGCATTAAGCACTCAACTCAAATGTCGATAAAGTAACGCCAAAGGAAAATTAAGGAAATGAAAAACAAAAAAATATTGTCATAAGATACCTTGTGTCACCTACTTTGGTCATGGAGTAATAAGACACCAGTCCCTGGAGAAGGATATTATGCTTGGTAAAGTGGAGGGTCAGCGAAAAGGAAGAAGACCCTCAACAAGATGGATTGACACAGTGGCTGCAATGATGGGCTCAAGTATAGCAAGGGTCGTGAGAATGGAGCAGACCTGGGCCGTGTTTTGTTCCATTATACATATGGTCACCATGAGTCAGATTTGACTCCACTGCATCTAACAAAAAGAAGGAGCCCTCATGGTGCAATGGTTAACCGCTTGGCTACTAACCGAAAGGTGGGCAGTTCAAACCCATCCAGTTGCTCCAAAGTAGAAAAGACCTGGCTATCTGTTCCCATAAAAAGAAGCCTTATTTAAAAAAAAAAAAAAAAACAAACTCACTGCCCTCCAGTCAATTCTGACTCATAGCAACCTCCATTGGGTTTCCAAGGCTATACATCTTTATGGAAGTAGATCACCCCATCTTCCTTCTGTGGAGCGGCTGGTAGGTTTGAGCTGTTGACTTTCTGGTTAGCAGCCAGATGCCTTATCCACTACACCACCTGAACTCCTTAAGAAGCCTTATGGGGCAGTTCTAGAAGGTCACTATGGGTTTAGGAATCTACACCATAGCAAACAAAGCATAAACCTTGATCCTAAAACTGAAAGCATGTAGCACTGGAAAATTGATAGGCCCATTTTACCAGAAGAAAAGCTACAAAAATTTGGATAAAATTGTATCAAATCTTAATGCAGAAGGGCATTAAAAGAGTATTACATCATGATATTGCAAGAACGACTAACAGAAAAATTTAACAATATACTTCAGTACAGTGACAGATAAAAATGGTGAATTGTCTTACTATATACAGAAAAATATTTGAAATAACATCATCTCATTATATATATATATATATATATATATATATATATATGGTATACGGTCTATACACACACACACAAGGAATTCCTGTGATCGATAAAAAAGAGTCTGTAAGACAGTAGAACTGCCCCATAGGGTTCAGTGTTTCCAGGGCTGTAATCTTTACAGAAACAGAGTGCCACATCTTTCTCCTACCACATCTTTCTTCTTCTAAGCAGTTGGAGGATTTTTCAACCAATGACCTTTCAGTTAGCAGCTGAGTGCTTAAGCACCATGCCACCAGGTCTCCTTATGTAAAACAACAAGTAGACAAACTAACAAGAACACCACACATGTGTACATATGCCCAACAAACTTTATGCTTAGATGCATTATCCTTAATAGGTAAACACTGGAAACAATCTATCAATTTGCATTAACAGACAAATTATTAGAAATAGAGTTCAGCAAAGTTTCTAGACACAAGATCAGTGTACAGAAATCTATAGCAATGCAAACCAGTTGCTGTTAAGTGCATTCTGACTCACGACAATCCCATGTGTGCCTGAGTAGAACTGGGTTCCATAGGGTTTTCAATGGCTGATTTTTGTTAAGTAGATTGCCAGGCCTTTCTTCTGAGGTGCCTGAGTTAACTTGAACTTTTAACCTTTTGGTTAGCAGTCAGTCATTTTATAGACCACACAGAGCCCACCAAGCTGGCCTGCCAGGAAGGAGCTAACTGCCTAGAGGGAAGCCCAAGAGAGCTGGTAGAGGCCAGGCACCTCCCAGCCACCACAACCCCCTTGGCCTCTGGGTGAACTCCTAGGGACTCCTTAGCACTTCTATACACCATTTATTCTATTTATAAAATGGAATCGCAAAAAGGTCTCAATCTCTTTAACAGCAAACATACAATGTATCAGGGAAGAAATCTAAAATTGACATGCACCTACATTTGTTCATTAAATGCAAACATGAATGACGATTTAACAGGAAAAAGTGCTTTCTCATATAAAATGTCATCATTTTAGTGTCTTATGCTTTAAGGGTGGGTGGGGAGGAAGGAAGCGTTTACCTTCTGTTATCCTGAAATCTTAATTTCAAATGCAGACACTTTCAGGACCCAGAAAGATGATTTTGTTTAAGGATTCCAAGTCTAAATGATACATCCTCAAATCCTCAAAGTAAGGCTGTATGCGTTCCATCCCAACTGTCATTCAATTACCCATCCTAATTCTAAGAGACCAAATATCCGAGATTTTTACCAAGAAAAAAATTCAAGCCCATAAATCTAACTTCTTTAAACTTGGGAGTCCCTAGATTATGCAAAGAGTTAATGTTTTCAGGTGCTAACAGAAAAGTTGGTGGGAGTCCGCCCAGAAATGAATGCCTGGAGAGAAAGGCCTGGAGACCTACTTCCGAAAAATCAGCCATTGAAAACCCCAAGGAGCTGCTGCAGGGTTGTACTTCCACACACACAGCGTCACCAAGAGTCAGAACCAATTGGACCACAAGTGGTTTTTACTAGTCCTCTGGTAGCTTAGTGCCTAAGGCACTTGACTGCTAACCAGAAGGCTGGTGGTTCAAATCCGCCGGCCACTCCTCGGAAGGACGATGGGGCAATCGACTTCCGTAGTGATACTGCCTCGGAAACCCAAGGAAGGGTCGTTATGAGTCTCGTCCGTAGTGATACTGCCTCGGAAACCCAAGGAAGGGTCGTTATGAGTCTCGTCCGACTCGACGGCACATAACAACAGCAACAAACTTAGAAAAAAAAAAAAAAAAACTCTCGCTCACAAGCAAAACTAACAGGAAAATAAACCGACCTACCTTCAGCCAATCAAAATTCTGATTCCATATGAAGATTCTCCAAGCCCCAGAGAGATGGCTTCCTCCAAGCCACCAAATGGAGTCCTGATGACCCTACTTTTATACCCTGTAGGCGTAATAACTCAATCACCACCCACATAACACAATTATAAAGCTAGTTTCCTGATTGGCCACTCCACTTAATCCAAGGCTTTCTATGGGGTAAAAAAAAAAAAAAAAAAAGGGAATCAAACTACAAAGTTTAAAATAAAGGGGCGGGAAAAGCCAAACTAGACAAACCTATTAAAGCAATATTAATATCGATATATTTATAGGTTAAAAAAGGCCATTCTATAGTCAACAAAAAGAAAACTTCACTAGAAAAATATTACAACGATGAATTTTATGCATCTAAACACAAAGCAAGGAGCTCTGCTGGTGTCGTGGTTAAAGCGTTTGGCAGGTAACCAAGAAGTCGTTGGTTTGAACCCACCAGCCACCAGCCACTCCACAGGTGAAAGATGCAGCCTGCTGCCATTAAGATTTACAGCCTTGCAAACCCTATGGGACAGTTCTGCTCTGTCCTGTAGGGTCACCATGAGTAAAAGTGCTGAGACCAGAAAAACTAAGACTTAGGAATAGAAGGTAAAATCGACAAATTTGAATTATTATGGAAATTTTTAAAATACAATTTTTCAGAAACGGATAGAGCAGAAAAGAAATTAATAATCTATAAAACTGGAACAAATTTGACTTTGAGTGTATAATCTGCAAAAACTACAACAAATGGAAAATGCTTTTCAAAAATATGAAAACATTTACAAAAATATGAAACATTTACAAAAACTAACCAGTACAGGACGACAGAATAAGTATCAATAAATATCAACCACAGTTTCGATCACAATGAAATTAAACTGAAAGTTAGCAATAAAAACAACTGGATCCAATTATATTTATTTGAAAATAAATTCCTAAAAATCAATTTACTTTTATGTTCAACTCAAGCACCTAGTAAAAAGAAAAAAAAGAGAAAGATTAAAAATGATAGAAGGATAAAGAAACGGGAAAACAAACATATACGAATATACAAAAAAAAAAAAAAAACCTGCCATCAAGTGGATTCTGACTCCTAGCAAAGCATCTTTACAGAAGTAGATTAACTGATTTTCCTGATGGGAGTGCCTGATGGGTTTGAATGGCTGACATTATGGCTAGCAGCCAAATGCCTTACCCACTATGCAACCAGAACTACTTACACAAAAATAGAAGGGGGGGGGGGAGAACTGCCAGTAGAGTCTGTTCTGACTCATAGCAACGCTACAGCAAAGAGAATTGCCCCATGGGGTTTCCAAGTTAGCAGCCTAATACGGAATCACTGCGCCACCAGTTGTTGTTTGCTGTCGAGTGGGCCCCGACTCATAGCGACCCCTCCTTGGATTTCCGAGGCAGTATCACTACGGAAGTAGGATTGCCCAACCTTCCTTCGGAGCGCCTAAGAAAAATCCCACTGCTGTCTAGTCTATTGGGATTCAGAGCTACCCCCACTGCATTCCAAGACTGTAAATCTTTAGGAAAGTAGATTGTCGCGTATTTCCCTTGTGGAGCAGCTAGTGGGTTTGAATTGCCAGACCTTTGGTTAGCATACAAATATTTGCC